AATGATGATATGTCAATTTTAACTCAAAGTATTGAAAGATTTGCAAAAACGAATGATGAAAATCATCCTTACTTCACTCAAAAATCAAAGAAATATCGAAATTCTTTACAGCCATTCAAATTCCAAGATGAGAAAGATTTAATTGTCCCAATAAAATTATTGGAACAAACAGAAAAAGAAAAAACCAAACACACAAAGAAATGGAATCCTGCGTCATCGAAAGTCAAGTCACAATTAAAGAGCAGCAAACCAAATAATGTTTCAAAGGAAGAAAATAAAGAACTTATCCCTCAAGCTTTAGTTAAGATGAAGGAAAATGAAAAAAGGAAAAAAACTAAAAAGAAATGGAGACCAAAATCAAAATAGAATAGAAATTTATTGTTATTTAAATGTATGATATAAATATCGTTTCTTGTTTTGATTCTTTATTATCAATTAAAAACAGAATATATGAATTTTTAACATTTTTTACTAAAGGATAGATTATAATTAAAAATAAAATAGCATAGATAATATAGGGTGTCCGGTAATGTGATGTCACTAAGTATAATAAAGTCATTTCTAATAAGTCATTTTTTATTGATAAGTATTTCAAAATATGTAGTCTCCATTGGCATCAATAACTTTTTTCAGTCTATTTTGCCATTCTGCAAAAACTGAAAACAAAGTTTCCGATGGAATTTCATTGAAAATTTGGACTATTGTTTGAATCAAATGGCTTGGTGATTCAAAAACAATTCCTTTAACTTTTTCTTTAATAGTTCCAAATAAAAAAAAGTCGCTAGGCGCCAAATCAGGTGAATATGCCGGATGTGGAACTGATTCTAGTGAGTTTTCATTTATATATTTTTTGACAATTTTTGCCACATGAGGCTTTGCATTGTCATAATGAACAAATAATTTTTTATAATTATTCGAGTTTTTAAACTCAACAATTTTTGACATAATGGCTGTAATATAATATGCAGCATTAAACTTTTCATTTGGCGGCAAAACATCAATATGAATTATCCCATGAGGGTTCCAAAATACAGTCACCATAAATTTAGTGATCTGAAACCCTGGATTTTGAATAGTTGGGATTACTGAGTTTTCAGGAATCCATTGTGTATTGAAATCAGTCTTGGAATAAAACCAAGACTCATCTCCTGTTATTAAAAAGGTGAAATTAGTTTTTTGTTCTGCATTCAAAATTTTAAGAAGTTTTTTTGCCAATAAAACTCTATTGGCCTTTTGATTTTCTGTTAGAATATGTGGCACCCATCGAAGATGCACATGTTTATACATTAATTTTGATGTTAAACGATCATAAATTGTCGATTTTGGTTCACCTAAAACATTAGCAATATATCGACACGATGAATGTGGAAATTCGGTTAAAACATCTAAAATTTTCCAGTCAAGAATATCATAACTTTGGCACTTTTTCTCTTTTTTCACAGGCTGTGTGTTTTGACTTCTGTTCAGTTCTGCCATGACTCGGTAGATTTGTCTTTGAGACAAACATTTTTCTTTCAAGACACTCTTCATTTCTTCATATATTTCTTTGCCCCTTTTTCCTTCAAGCTGCAGAAAAGTTATGATTGAATGTTGATCAATCATTTTTTAATAAACGTGCATCGTGTACGTTTATAAATTATTCTTTTTTTTTATGAAAAAGATTCTTTATCTCTATTTTCAGTCAAGAGAAAAAAAAATTGTTTTCAAAATTTTTATGTTAACATTGCATAGTTTATTATTTATAAATATAATGTATTGATTTCACTTCTAATGTGGGTAGTGACATCACGCCTCCGGACACCCTATATAAAAAAAGATAAGTCTGGCTTTTCAATCGCAGCAGCTTTTCTTTTCAGGGGCTTTCTGTTCACTCGTGACTTTAATTCCAGTTTTCATAGGCACTGAGTCGTCTTCAAGTGGTAATGAATTTTGAATCTGTGGCTTCAGTCCTTTTGAGTTTTGTGACATTTTATGAACAATTTCAGTGACAAGGATATTAAAGGCTTCTGCAATATTTGTTGATATAAGTGCAGATGTTTCGATGTATAAAAGTTGTTCTGCTTTTGCATATTGAATTGCTTCTTCTTCTAAAACTGTTCTGCTATCTGCCAAATCATTTTTGTTTCCAACTAACATAATGATGACATCTTTTTCTGCATTCTCTCTAATGTCTTTTAGCCATCTTGCGGCGGATTCAAACGAAGTTGCTTGCGTGATATCGAAAATAATCATCGCTCCTAAAGCGCCGTGAAAATATGCCCGTGTAATCGATTTGTAATGCTCCTGTCCAGCAGTATCCCAAATGCTAGCTTTAACAAGTTTGTTATCAACGACAATATTCTTTGTTGAAAATTCGACACCGATTGTAGATTTTGAATCTTCGCTGAAAAAATCTCTAGTAAATCGAGAAAGTATATTTGTTTTACCGACGCCTGAATCACCAGCTAGAACAATTTTTACGACAAAATCCTGATTTTCATTCGCCATTGAAAATTTATAAAATCGATCATGCATTCAAAAAGTCGCACTAAGATTTTACAATTTACAAAATCCTTTCAATTCTCTCAAAAGGATTTTATCAGCATTGATGAAGTAATCCTGAATTCCTGCCATTTATCAAAAAGATTATATCTTCATAGCATAAATGCCACATATGCACATTTTCTTTAATGAATGTAGCTTTCATTTTTTAGTTTTTCATACTCACATCAATTATCATCAAACTCACAGTGAACCAAATGATTTGGTAACTGGAATGAAATAATTAACAATGCTAAGGAAAGCATTTAATCCAAATCGAAATGTTTATTTCTATTAATATTACCAATAAAATGAAGACATTCGAAAATATAATGATGGACAATTATGACATTGAAATCATGAGCCTATTCGAAATTGAAATAATTTGAAAAGTAAATATATATAAATTTATATATCTGCATTTCGACTTGAAAAAGATTTCGACCAAGTATAGTCAATCATACAATGTTTTTCAGATAATTTTTTCAAGAAAAGAAAACAAAATCATTATGTCATAAATTATATTTATTATAAATAAAATAAAAAATAATAATAAAAAAAATAAAAGTCCTATTGTTGCGTTTTCGCTCTTTTCAGGAATTTTTCACCTCTTTTCTGTTTCATTCTCTTCACTTTCTGAATGACATTTCTAACATCACGTGGAGATCTCTTGTCCTTTGAAATATATGCGCGCTTTTCCCTTTCTTCTGCCGAAAATGCATTTCTTGCAATTTCCTTCGTTCGTGCAATTGCATTGTCGAGATGCTCGAGTTCAATTTCTTCTCTTTCTGTCTGTAAAATCAACTCTATTTGTTCTGCAACGTCATCGAGCTTCTTCTGTGAAGCTTCAAGTACAGATTCTGGAATTGTACGCTTATTTACTGGGTTTTTAGAATTCTGAATAACTTCGCGCATCAATTCGCGATCTTTTTCACCAATCAACGAAACTGCATGTCCGGCATTTCCAATTCTTGCTGTTCGACCAACACGATGAACATAACTACTCATTTGTTTTGGCATATTATAATTAATAACATTTTCAATCCCTTTAATGTCGAGTCCGCGCGCAGCAACATCAGAGGCGAGCAAGAATTCTACTTTTCCAGATGAGAAAGCAGCCATTGCATCATTACGACGTGTCTGACTCATGTCCCCATGCAATTCTACAACAGGCATATTTAAAGCTTTAAATGTTGCGTACATACGATGGCATCCTTTCTTAGTTTGAAAGAAAATAACAGTTTTTTTCGTGCAGAGACGAGAGCAAACCGCAATTAAAGATGCTGAACGATTCTCTCGAGTCACTCGAACAAACTCTTGTTGAAGTGATTCAGAAACAGCAAACAAAGCATCAAGTTCAATTTTGACAGGCGTTTTGAGGGCTAATTCGGCCAATGTGGAAACCGATGAAGTCATCGTGGCGGTTACTAAAAGTGCCTGTCGTTCATCTGGAAGATTTCGAACAATTTCTTCAATTTGCGGTTGGAAGCCGTTATCAAGGAGTCTATCGGCTTCATCAATCACCAAAATTTCCAATGTCTGAAGATTCAATTTTTTGAAGTTTTTGATGTGGTCAACAAGCCTTCCTGGAGTTGCAACGATGATATCTGGCAATGAAAGAAGTTTTGCTTCTTCATCTTTGGGATTGATCATTCCGCCGGTTAAAAGAAGGGCCGTGAGATTTGTAAAACGAATGAGCGTCTTTAAAACAGAAAATGTTTGTAATGCAAGTTCACGAGTTGGCGAAAGAACGATAGCGCGGATGGATTGATCTGATAACGGGTTACGAAGGATTCTTTCGACAGTTGGAATTAAGAAAGCTGCTGTTTTACCTGATCCTGTGACCGCCGATGCGCAAACGTCATGTCCTTGGAGAGCGATTGGTATCATTTCAGATTGAATTGGGGTTGGTTTTTCGAAATTGATTTTAGCGAGAGCACGAAGAATTTGATCAGAGAGTCCAAATTCATCAAACGATTCCGCAAGTGGTGGAAGTGTTGTTTCTGTGTCGAAAAAGTCGTTCATTTATGGTCGACCAGAGTCATTCCTATCGTCCACTTTTTCGGCTCATGTAAAAAGCTTTGATCAATGCTAATTATTCCAAGCTAGAGTCATGTCCATGCAGATGTCAGTTTTTGATTTGCTTGTTCTTTTGAATGACCAAATATATATCATGGAATAAATACATTTCAGATAAATCAATTTTTATAGATATAATTCATTAAATACATATTCTTAAATATAGCATATCATTTTTGAAAATATATATGAAAAAAATTATTTTCGGAATAATTATTTTTTCTTTTTATTGTGTTTAAATGATATGAGCTAATTGATAAGTTATTTTTCAATGAGTTTGTCAAGAATTAGAAATGTAGAAATCTCTCCTTCATAAAATCCTATTCAGAAAATAAAATGATTTAGCAATGAAAATATTAAATTGGCATTTTTAAACAAGCAACTTTTACAGAATCACAGGAAGTTCTGTGGACCGAGTGGTCAAAGGCGACTGATTCAGAGTCAGTTTATCGTGGGTTCGAATCCCACCAGGACTATTTTTTAGGATTTTTTATTTGAGAAAGCATTCAAAAAGTTAGCAGTTTTCGTTTGTATCATGACTTCTCTATATGATGTTATGAAGATTGAAGAACGAGATAATAAAGAAGAAAATCAAATTATTATAGTTTATAATGGAGAGAAAATTAAAACAAATAAATTTTTGTTATTTCAGAAATGTCGATATTTTCGAAAACATCATGAAATATTTCTTCAGAAAGAAATTGATCTTTTAGATAAATGTTCCAATCAAACATTTCGAAATTTCATTCTTTCGATGCAAAATCAAGAATTGAAGTGAAAAAAGAACACACATTCTTTGTATATTTAGAATTAAGTTTAAGTTATGAATATCATGAATTATGTTTTAGTCTTCAAAAGTATCTTCATTCGCTTCCATTATATCTTGCTCTAATGACTTTCTTGATAACTTTGAAAGCAATTAATATGCGAAAGAAGAAGAAAATCACATAGCTGAATTGATTGTATAGTTTTATATTGTCTCAATTCCCCAATGTTTTGTGAGTTTCTGGAGAGTTTTATTTATTAAATAATACAATTCTCATGATTAATGATACTTGATTATTTTTTCATTAAAATTAAGCGTTAAAAATTATAATTTATAGAAAGAAATCGAAGAAATTAGCAAATATGATCAATATATTATATTTAATAATTACTGTTAATAATTTAGTATCTCGGCAAATTCTCTTCATTACGTGCCATGAATCTTTTCATTCTATATACTTCAGGTAAGCTGCTAATTGTAAATGTCCACGGCTTTTCGAAAATAATAATCTGTTTTGGTCCGGCGAAAGTTACATACAATATGTCGTTGTAAGGTAATCTGTAAAGTCCTAAATCTGGTTTCTTCAAATTGCGAACAATCGCTCTCTGTGAAGATGCCAAAAGTATCTGGCTTGGATTATCTACTGCAAAAGAAATGGTGTTTACTGCAACATCTTTAAATTTACCAAATTTAGTTGTAAGTTTTGGTAAGAGCTCTTTCTTAAGCACATTAAAAACTGCTACTTTTTCACTGCCTGTTGAAATAAATAATCTGTTTTTGAATGGCTGGAAAGCGAATGTTGAGAAAGGTGTTCCCAAATTTGGTAATTCCGTTTCTATCTTCGTCAGATTCTTGTCAAGAAGAACCATTTTATCTATTCCGCCAGCAACGATATGTTCTCCATTACTTGAGATAGCAATTCTAAATACTGGGAAACCAACATTAATTGAACCTTTTTTAAAACGAACAGTTCCATCCAAGAATCCCATAAACAAAATTCCTTGTTTTGAATATACTAAAAATGAAGCAGGTGGAAGATTTGTTTTATTGTCATATTCCCACATTCCATTTTGATTCCTTTTTATTAATTTGACAGCACTTGCTGAATAAGCTAGTTCATTTCCACTTGGCGATAAAGCTACGCATTCTATACAGTTTTTCGAGTTATCTGTTTTTACATTCAGTTCCAATTTTGCTTGTTTTGAATCCAACTTCCAAATGGAAAGTTGATGGCCTGTAGCACCAGCAACTATTAAATCTCCATCTCGCGATGTTGACGAGATTGGTGGCTGATATTGGAATGGGAAAAGTTGATCTTTGATATAAAGAGTTGAATCTAAAGAGCCACTAATTGCGTAAGTTTTATCACTCGCAGCCAAGCAAGTAACTTCATGTGTATGATTTCTTGAAGATCCAGCTTGCGCCCATAATCCATTCTTTTTATTGTAGCCAAATTTGACAACAGTTGGGTCAACTCCAGAAGCCCAAAGAAATTGGTCATTTGCTGCCAATGCGCGAATATTCGCTTTATGAGAATTGAATTTTGCTATGACAGTAGCTGTCATTGGATCCCAAATGTGGACATTTCCGTCTCTATCGCCTGTTGCAAAATGTCCTCCGGGAACTGCTGTAACGGCAAGGACAGGTGACCCAACTTCATAACATGTCAAAATTCTGCCATTTTCTGGGTCAATTTTGGCAACTCGTCCTTGATGCGCACCGGCATAGATATATCCAGAATCGTCGAAACAAACGCAAAGAACAGCAGACACAAATTTGTCTGATGACGCAACAAATGAGAGTTCTTCTGATGGATTGAAAATGTTAACATGTCCTGTATATTCTGAATCGCCGCATGCTGTAACAATCCTGTCTTGCTTTTTATTGACGGCAAGCGTAATTAAATGTCCGTATGAATGGGTTGGTCGCATGAATTTGAGTGAAGGGTATTGGATTAAAAATAATTCGCCTGTTAATAAACCGACTGCAATCGCTGGCTCGTCATGATATTTACACCATGCAACAGATTTAAGATTGTCTGGGAAGGTGACGTAAAACGATGCCATGACGAAAGCATTTTCTTTGATATTCCATATTTCAAGGTATCCAGATTCACGACCGACAACTAAAGTATCGCCTTTTGTATTTAATGAAATCGAGGAAATCGAAGATGGTGTGTAATCAAATACTCTGATTCTATGGACTTCAGTCATTTTCTTTGACCATGATCATCAATTAACGGTCGCCCGATTTTGAATTCACCAAAATCATGAACAAAATCCATTTTGAATACCTATATGGCCTTACATTCATCAAGATTGTTAAATAAAAACATCTTTATCTCAGCATATTACGAAATATAAGTTATTTATTATGTTACTAACAATATATATATTATTATTTGATATTAAGGATTGAATATGGTATTCGTTTACAATGTGTATATCGAGAAAAGGAGATATCTCAATATTGTGCGAAAATCTGGCCGACCAAAAAAATGAATTACAAAGATGCAACCCAGAAGATCCTTCGCTCATCTCTTCATCAATTTTTAGATCCAGACTTTGATGATGTAGATGTTTATGAGCAATCTGTTTGGATTGAAATTTTAAAAAATTGCTCCCAGAAATTAAGAAATTCTGATACTTGTTTATTAGAAGAAATGGTGAATTATCTTTTTAATTGCTGGTGTACAGATGCAATGAATCAATTATTAACTACCGAAATACCAGCAATTTTAATTTCATTTTTGGAGAATTATGTTCAAAATCATATGAAGCCCAATTTGCCCATTCTAAAAATTCGAGAAATTGGTTCAAAACGAGATATGATTTTGGCTTTATATGTTATCAACGAATGCTTTAAAATGCATTCAAATTTTAATTATCAAAATGTGACTCCGAATTTAATGAAAATGTTTTTTACTATTTCTGAATTTTCCAGCTGTGATTCTGCTAAATTTGCAATATCAATTATTACTAGGTATGCAGAACATTCACCTGAATGTTTATCAAATTTACTTACATTAAATTTCGTTGATCGAATTTTATATCTTCTAAAAAGTCCCATAAATTATTCAATTAAAGCTTGTTTAATTTATGCTTTAATACCATTAATTAATACCGGAAATATTGGAAATATTTGCGAATTATTAATTTTTCATCAGAAAAAATGGCAAAATGAGCTCACTTTCCTTGCTATTTTGAATTTTTTTAATCAATATCTACTTTTTTCTGAAAAAAATCTTAAAAATGGATTTAAACTAGGCGTTTTCGATTTGGCATTAGATGGAATCATATATGATTTTCCAAATAAATCCGAAGAAGGAACAGAGACAGAAACAAAGCAGACATCGTTAGAAATTATTATGCAATTTTTGAATTCCCCTTTTAGTGAACATAAAGAATATATTATCACATATTCTGATATTGGGAAACATGTTGGACTTTTATTATTAAATGAAAACGATAATGACATCAAGTGCGGAATTACAATCTTGAATTTTCTTCTCTATAATGATCCAGATATCCCTTCAAAAGTAATCCATCATAAAATAATAGAAAATATTTGCAAAGCTATCAAAATATGCAATTTCGAAAATAAAACTTTAATTTTAAATGTTTTGGGTTATTTCCTGAAAGAAACAGATAAGTCTATCGTAATGATGATATTGAATAATGACATTTTAGAATATGTTTTTGAATCTATTGAATGCATTACTGATCCCTTAAAAATTTATGTTTTGGAAAGTTTGTTTCATATTTTTACGAATTATCCTGAAAGTAAGAAATATGTTAATGAAGAAGATATATATGAAATCATAGAACCACTTCAAAGATATCCAAATGAAGACATATCAACTTTAGCACAACTAATTCACAAAGAATTTGTTGAATGAATTTTTCATTAATTGAAAGTAATGTATAGCAAATACTTTTAGTATTAACTATAATTCTTCATGTAAAAATTGATGTGAGTAAATATAAATCCCTTCTGGCAAACTATTCATTCGAAATTTTTAATTTTATTTTATTTATTTATTTTTATTTTAACATCTTTCTCGAACATTAGTAGTATCACATGATTTGGCTACTTGACAATGAATAAAGAGAATAGAGAAATATCATTTGATATTGAGGAAAAATGGTCTGACATCTTTTTGATCTGAACCATTTGAATCTAGTCAAAAAGTTCATTATTCTTCACAATTTCCGTATTTTTGTTTACATCTCTGAATTTTTCTGTGTCTGGACATTTAAATCAAAAAGACCGATAAGTTATATGAAAGGTTGAACGATAACAGAACGTTTGAGAATTGGTAATTGGCTGACCATTTAAGTCATTCTTAAAAAATGGGTAAAGATTACTATTCCATTCTTGGTGTTTCAAGGAACGCCGACGAAAAAGAACTCAAGCGCGCTTACCGCAAGCTTGCCATGAAGTGGCACCCTGATAAAAACCCCGACAATCAAGCCGAAGCCCAATCAAAATTCCAAGAAATATCAGAAGCGTACGATGTTCTAAACGATCCAAAGAAGCGACAAGTTTACGATCAGTTCGGTGAAGAAGGATTGAAAGGAAGTGCCGGCGGTGGCTATTCCTTCAACTTTGGCTCAGCCCAAGATCTCTTCTCCCATATCTTTGGTGGAATGGGAGGAATGGGAGGCATGGGCGGCTTCGAAGACATCCTCGGTGGCATGGGCGGTTTCG